AACAATTCTGTAATGTTTTGAAGCCTCCAACTGCGGGCTAGAATGTCAGTTAAGGGTGCCCAGTAACTTGCCGATGTACATGGAACTCTCCAGGATCTGGAGCTAAAACTGTTTAAGACAATTGTGATAAGAGGACACGTGGACTTTCTCCCCTAGTGAGTGGGGTGGGTTACCATATAAACCATGTTTAACTATCTAGCAAATGGCAATTAATTATGACATCATGAATCATATCACATAACACATAAGAGAAAGATGGAATAACTACGGCCATAAACAGATCACCCATACATTTTCCTTCAGCCCCCTAGAAATGATTAATCCTAATAAACTGTGTGTGCTACATTCTATTTATAAAAATAATTACATTGCATGTGTATAAAGATATCTTTCAAAAGTTCAATATTTAAAATAGTATTTCTCTTTTTTTTTTTAATTTAATTTCAAAGTAAAAGAAACACTGCTGATTTTAGGACTGATAGGATATTAAAGCTTTCACCCATCTCAATTTAATCTGAGATAAAGTCTCACCTGCGAAAAAAACAGTCTGTGACTACAGAAACCAACAACATTTTCCCTTTTCTCAACATGTCCTAGTCAAAAGTGACCCCAATACAGTATTAGTATTTTATTTGTATTTTCACAAGAGTGACAAGTATTTGTTTGTGCTGCCCAAAACACTTTGTAAGGTCTGTGCAAGTTAATTAGGGGAAAGGCTGTCCTAATAGCCCATCTATCTTTTTCAGAGTACTGTGTTATTTTACAGACTTCTATGGCTATGTCTACACTGTATTCAAAAATTTGTATCTGGCCTGTGCCATCTGACTTGGGCTGTCAGGGCTTGGACTAAGGAGCAATTCAACTATAGTAAAGACATTTGGGCTCAGGCTGGGGCTTGGGTTCTAGGACACTGCAGTGCGGTAGGGTCCCAGACTTCAGCCTGCTGCCTGAGCCAGAACAGCTATAAATCAATAAACTAGGGAAATACATCCTAGATGGGGCTACTAGAAGGTGGGTACATAGCTGGCTGGATAACCATTCTCAAAGAGTAGTTATTAATGGTTCACAGTCATGCTGAAAGGGCATAACAAGTGGGGTTCCCCAAGGGTCTGTTTTGGGACCAGTTCTTTTCAATATCTTTATCAACAATTTAGATGACGGCATAGAGAGTACGATTATTAAGTATGCAGATGACACCACGCTGGGAGGGGTTGCAAGTGCTTTGGAGGATAGGGTCAAAATTCAAAATGATCTATTTTCAAACTAGAGAAATGGGCTGAGGTAAACAGGATGAAGTTTAATAAGGTCAAATGTAAAGTATTCCACTTAAGAAGGAACAATCAGTTTCACACATACAGTATGGGAAGTGATTGTCTAGGCAACAGTACTGCTGGAAGGGATTCAGGGGTCATAGTGGATGACAAGTTAAACATGAGACAATAATGTGACACTGTTGTAAAAAAAGCAAACATGATTCTGGAATACATTAATAGGAGGGTTGTGAGCAAGACACAAGAAGTCATTCTTCCGCTCTACTCTGTGCTGATTAGACCTCAACTGGAGTATTGTGTCCAGTTCTGGGCACCACATTGCAAGAAAGATGTGGAGAAATTGGAGAAGGTCCAGAGAAGAGCCACAAAAATGATTAAAGATCAAGAAAATATGAGTTATGAGAGAAGACTGAAAGGATCGGGCTTGTTTAGTTTAGAAAAGAGAAGACTGAGAGGGGACATGATAACGGTTTTCAAGTATCTAAAAGGGTGTTATAAGGAGGAGGGAGAAAAATTGTTCTCCCTGGCCTCTAAGGAAAGGACAAGAAGCAATGGGCTTAAATTGCAGCAAGGGAGGTTTAGGTTGGACATCAGGAAAAACTTCCTGCCTGTCAGGGTGGTTAAACACTGGAATAAATTGCCTAGGGAGGTTGTGGAATCTCCATCACTGGAGATATTTAAAAGCAGGTTACAGACACCTGTCAGGGATGATCTAGACAGTGCTTGGTCCTGCTGTGAGGACAAGTGAGTGGACTCAATGACCTCTCGATAGGATTGCCATGTGTCCGGTTTTCTACCGGACAGTCCGGTATTTGCACCGTCTGTCTGGTAGAAAAATTCAGAAAATACCAGACATGTGCAATGTCCGGGCAGGGGAGTGACTGGGAGGCGGAGTGCGATTGGCTTTGGGAGCCCTGTGGTCACACAGAAAAGCTGGGTGGGGTGGGGTAGGGTGGGGCGG